AAGTCAGTCATTAAGTGAGAAGTATCTGTATTGCAGAAAAAGAATGTCTGAAAGGGACTATAAAAACTGATGTGATTATCCAGAATATTTAAATTTCTTTCCCTCTCCCTCCCTCCTCTCTCTCTTTCCTCCCTCCCTTCTCTCTCTCTCTTTCCTCCCCCCTCCTTCCTTCTCTCTCTCTCTCTCTTTCCTCCTCCCTCCCTTCTCTCTCTCTCTCTTTCCTCCTCCCTCCTTCCTCTCTCTCTTTCCTTCTCCCTCCCTCCTCTCTGTCCCCCCTCCTTCCCCTCTCTCTCTCTCTTTCCCCTCCTCTATATGTACTTAATGTTCCCCATTTCCCTAACCAGTCTCCTTTGGTGCTTCAGAGAGAGATGTTATCCATCATCCTCACCAGTAGAGTGAATTCCTCTCTTAAGTTTGCCTCTTCACCTCCTTTGCCCTTTATCACAGAGGTATGTGTTTGGAGTATACTTCGAGCACAGATGAGTTCCTTGTTCCAGGAAGCAGACCGAGATCTTTGGTCATATCTTCCTAGTGCATCTCATTTAGGTCACTATTAATCTGGTCCCAGTTCATGTTCATGTTGAAATAGAATTTGTTAAATTTGTCTTCATCTTTTTTCTTTTCTTTCAACAAACCGGCCGTATCCCACCAAGGCAGGGTGGCCCAAAAAGAAAAACGAAAGTTTCTCTTTTTAAATTTAGTAATTTATACAGGAGAAGGGGTTACTAGCCCCTTGCTCCTGGCATTTTAGTCGCCTCTTACAACACGCATAGCTTACGGAGGAAGAATTCTGTTCCACTTCCCTATGGAGATAAGAGGAAATAAACAAGAACAAGAACTAGTAAGAAAATAGAAGAAAACCCAGAGGGGTGTGTATATATATATGCTTGTATATGCATGTGTAGTGTGACCTAAGTGTAAGTAGAAATAGCAAGATGTACCTGAAACCTTGCATGTTTATGAGACAAAAATGGACACCAGCAATCCTACCATCATGTAAAATAATTACAGGCTTTCATTTTACACTCACTTGAATTTGTCTTCATGGGTGACCATTTTTTAAGAACATAAGAAAGGAGGAACACTGCAGCAGGCCTGTTGGCCCATACTAGGCAGGTCCTTCACAATCCATCCCACTAACAGAATATTTGCCCAACCCAATTTTCAATGCTACCCAAGCAATAAGCTTTGATAATTCTGTTTACTCATATGCAAATCCCACTCAAATCCACCACTCTCACTCATGCATTTTTTTTTTTCAACAAGTCGGCCGTCTCCTACCGAGGCAGGGTGACCCAAAAAGAAAGAAAATTCCCAAAAAGAAAATACTTTCATCATCATTCAACATTTTCACTTCACTCACACATAATCACTGTCTTTGCAGAGGCGCTCAGATACGACAGTTTAGAAGTCCCTCTAAGCTGTCAATTTACCAAACCCCTCCTTTAAAGTGCAGGCATTGTACTTCTCATTTCCAGGAGTCAAGTCTGGCTAACAGGTTTCCCTAAATCCCTTCACTAAATATTACCCTGCTCACACTCCAACAGCTTGTCAGGTCCCCAAAAACCATTCGTCTCCATTCATTCCTATCTAACACATTCATACATGCTTGCTGGAAGTCCAAGCCCCTTCCCCACAAAACCTGCTTAACCCCCTCCCTCCAACCTTTTCAAGGATGACCCCCTACCCCTCCTTCCTTTCCCTGCAGATTTATATGCTCTCCAAGTCATTCTACTTTGATCCATTCTTTCTAAATAACCAAACCACCTCAACAACCCCTCTTCAACCCTCTGACTAATGTATTTATCCAACCTAAATTTGAAACTACCCAAGGTTTTAGCATCAATAACCCTACTAGGCAGGCTATTCTACTCATCAACTGCCCTATTTCCAAACCAATACTTTCCTACATCCTTTCTAAATCTAAACTTGTCTAATTTGAATCAATTATTGTGGGTTCTGTCCCATGCCACTGTGCAAGCAGGTCTGAACCTCTATTATGTTGTGGCCTGAGGTTGCAGTCTTTGACACCATTACATCCAGGACCAAGTAACCTCCGCAAAAAAAAAAAAAAAATACAAAGCTGTGGGTAATGTTCTTTTTTCTCTGCCATGAAGATGATGGACAGTAATGGTGTTAGGACAGTACTTTGAGATTAAGAATTATTTACTTACACTATACAGTGGACACTCGAATTTAGTCCTGCCTTTTCTGTATGCAAAACTATTTTTATCTATAAAATGTATTTTTTGTTAATATTTCCCATAGGAAATAATGTAAATCCAATTAAACCATTCCAGACACCCAAAAATATTAACAAAAAATACATTTTATAGATAATAAAAATAGTTTTGCATACAGAAAAGGCAGGACTAAATTCGAGGGTTCACTGTATTTTGTTTACCAACACTCTCCTTGGCTTGTTTGTTAGATATCTGTAAATCCATTTCCCTACTTTTCCTGTTAACAATTTCTATACTCTTCACTTGAGGAACACTAATGAGCATTGTCTACCCATGGAAGTCACCATTTATGTCTCCACAAATCACTAAAGAAGCTCCATTTCCTTGCATATTGTAGAAAGTAGAATCTTCTTCACACACTTCTATTGCCTTAAGATACTGAATTATTTATGCTGGTTTGGGTATTACACATGTAAAATTGTCTGAGGAAAAAGATTGTTATATTTCAGTGTAAGCAGTGACAGAGGTTTAATCCTCTGTTCATTATTCTTGGCCCAGTCTGTGATCAGCCAAGCTGTTGGTGATGCACGCTAAAGAACTACACTAAATGGAAAAAGAATGCAGACTGCCCGAGTAAATATTTTTTTATTTTTTTGTTTAACATGTCAGCCATTTCCCACTGAGGCAGGGTGACCCAAAAAGAAAGAAAAACCCAGAAATAAAAAACTTTCATCATCATTCAAGACTTTCATCATCACTCGTACATAATCACTGTCTTTGCAGAGGCGCTCAGATACAATAGCTTAGATGTCCCTCCAAACTGCCAATATCCCAAACCCCTCCTTAAAGTGCAGGCATTGCACTTCCCATTTCCAGGACTCAAGTCCGGCTAACTGGTTTCCCTGAATCCCTTCACAAAATATTACCCTGCTCACACTCCAACAGTTCATCAGGTCCCAAAAAGCATTCATCTCCATTCGCTACCATCTAACATGCTCACGCATGCTTGCTGGAAGTCCAAGCCCCTTGCCCACAAAAGAAGGAAATGTGAAAACAAGCTTTACTTAAAACACAATGAGGAGGTGAAGTAAAAATTAAAAAAAGAACTATGTTGTGATGCACTATCAAAGTAAGAATAACTCCTTTACTTTTGACATGGTAACTCTTCCATGGAGAGAAACCTAGCAGCATCTTGCCAACACTTGAAGTATCTCCCACACAAGAGTGGTAATAAAAGTATCTCCCACAAAAGTGGTAATAAAAGTATCATATAAACCACGGTAACTGATACCGACAAACTGGTTTATAAAGACAGGTTAGCAAACACTAGGACATATTTATTAGAAACTGTTTTAGTCATGGGACCATGATCACTTCTGATAGTTATGTGGAGGAAGCATCCTAGTTCCTTTTTTGGTTACCAAATTTCCAATAAGCCAGAACTTGTTAAGTGAGGGTTGACTGTATATATGTTACAGGTTTACTTTGCATTGGTGCTATTATTTATTGCTTAAAGAAGATTACGTCATTAATTTAATATGGTATTAAGATTTTCTTCTCTGATCACATTTACATTGATTTTCTTTCCCTTATTTTCTGGATGCCCTAATTAATTTAGTGAGTGTTCTCAGATTATGACTAAAGCTATAAAAATACAAACTTGCACTTGCATATATTTTTGGATGGAATAAATTTCATTACAAGATATAACTAATAAGTGATAATGTTTATTTCCATATGGTATAAAAGTGATATAGGCTTGGCTAATATGAGTGGCATACTTTACAGAAAGCTTCTGGTTATGCAGAACATTTTAGACAGCCTTAACATTAACTTATAACTACTGAAAAATTGTTAACTAGGTTAGCTTACTAGAATGCTACAGTTTACAAACATTGATATTGTATACATCAATTTGCTTAATCATATATGACATTTTGGGATTTTTTATTTTTCACAATTTGGTTTAATATTTGTAGCAGTGATTACTACATAATTCAGAATAAAGAAATGAGTGATGAGGCTGAATATACTAGGTTCATTAAATATTTTAATATTTATTGGCGATTGAAAAACAAGAATATGAATACTAATATGATATGGATTAACAAGGTTGCTGTTGAGAGGTTGGATTTTGATGTATTTTACATATGAAGAAATTAGAAGAGACTCATAAGATGCTTTTTTAGCTACATAATATGTCTGAAGCAGCAGCAGATAGGGAATTTTTTTCGCATCTTCTGGAAGGAAGTTCCAAATTTTAGAGCCCTTTATTAGCGTGGAGCTCCAATATAGATTGTGTTAAACATGTGGTACATATATCAAAGAGGTACTTGTTTCGTTTATTATGTGTGTTCTACTTCAGTGCTACAGGAAAAGACAGAGTGCTGGGTCAAAGTTTGTTATAACTGTCCCATATATGTAAAGAACACAGCAGCAGATACAAATGTTCTGTAAGTTGTGTAAGTTAAGACTTGAATAGTGGGGAAAGCTGGGTTCTGGAATATGACTCGGTGATACCTAATTAAAGCTAACACATCATTAAAAGAAACACAAATCACAAAAAAATGAAACGCTTTCAGATAAAGGGGAAAGTGACTTGTTAATTAACACTGCAAAGCACACTGCAGCAGAGCATAATGCAGCAGGCTAATACTGTGAAGGCAGTGAATCCTACAGGATAATCAAAACAATTCTTCTTGTGGTATTAAGGCATCTCAATACCTAGTGCATTAAATATTTTTTTCTATTATAAAACTGAAAAAAATAGTGTTATGAAAGAAGATTAAGAAAGCTCAGTAGAAGACTTCACTTTACCTTATCAACGTTAGCTCTGGTCTTAGCCGAGGTCTCTACATAAGGCACACGCCATTGTTCGGCACGGTTCTTGGCTTCCTCTTCTGACACTTTCCTGCGTTCAGTTAGGTCAGCTTTGTTGCCTACCAGCAAAAATGGAATGTGCTCATCATTTTTAACTCGCAGAATTTGTTCCCTGAAAGAAAAGAGGAAGTAGCTAGAATTTTTTTTTTTTTTAACAAGTCGGCCGTCTCCCACCGAGGCAGGGTGACCCAAAAAAAGAAAGAAAATCCCCAAAAAGAAAATACTTTCATCATTCAACACTTTCACCTCACTCACACATAATCACTGTTTTTGCAGAGGTGCTCAGAACACAACAGTTTAGAAGCATATACCTATAAAGATACACAGCATATCTAAACATATTATGTAGTAGGATGGTAGACAGTAACCACCCAGGGAGGTACTACTGATGGTAGGAGTGCTAGTGTCTTTTTTTCTGTCTTGTAAACACACAAGATAACAGGTATATCTTGCTACTTTTACTTGCATTCAAGTCACACTACACATAAATGTACACATTTATGTACACACACTCATCTGAGTTTTCTTTCATTTTTTCTTAATAGTTCTTGTTCTTATTATTTTCCTTTCTTATTCATGGGGAAGTGGAATATGAATCTTTCCTCCATAAGCCATAGGAGTTGTAAAAGTCAACTAAAATGCCAGGAGGAATGGGCTAGTAATCCCTTTTCCCATATAGCTTTCTAAAAATAAAAAAGAGGGAGGAAGTATGAAAGAAGTGAATGCATTCAGATACATGGAAGTAGACTTGTCAGCAGATGGGTTTATAAAGGATGAGGTAAACCAAAGAACTGATGTAGGAAAAATGGTGGGTGGTGCATTGAGGTATCTGTGGAGACAAAGAATGTTATCCATGGAAACAAAGGGAATATAAGAAAGTATAGTGGTATCAACACTTTTATATGGATGTGAGGCATGGGTTGTAAATTCTGCAGCAAGAAGGAAGCTGAAGGCAGTGGAGATGTTGTGTCTAAGGCAATGAGTAGTGTTAAAATTGTGCAGAGAATCTGTAGTGTGGAAACCAGGAAGTATGGAGTTACTAAAAGCATTATTCAGAAGGCTTAGGAGGGGTTGTTGAGGTAGTTTGGTCAATTAGAGAGGATGGAGCAAAATAGGATGACTTGGAAGGCATATCAAACTGTAGAGGGGAGGAGGGGTAGGGGTCATCCTAGGAAAGGATGAAGGGAGGGAGTAAAAGAGGTTTTTGTGTAAAGGGCTTGGACATACAGCAGGCATGTGTGAGCATGTTAGATAGGAGTAAACAGAGACAAATGGTTTTTGGGACTTGATGAGCTGGGTAATAATTTGTGAAGGGATTCAAGGAAACTGATTAGCCAGACTTTAGTCCTTTTTCGGTCACCCTGCCTCAGTGGGATACAGCCAGTTCATTGAAGAAAACACACACATATGCATGTGTACATGCATGCAGATGCGCATACATACATACATGCACACACAATTTTATTCATCTTACCTGAACTCTTGGGTAGCTTGGAATGAGTCATCTTCTGTGATGGAGAACACACACAGAAACCCTTCACCAGACCTAAAAATATTAAAAGATATTAGATTTTCCTTGCTTATATATATATAGATAGATATATATAGAGAGAGAATGTGTGTTACCAGTTGTTAAAGGCTTTTGGCTTTCGTCATTTGACACTTGGTCTGTTGCTGTGTCCCATGTGTGTATGTGTGTATATTCACCTAGTTGTGGTTGCAGGGGTAGAGTCATAGCTCCTGGCCCCACCTCTTCAAAGCTATGTATGGATCCTGCCTCCACTACATCACACTCCAGACTGTTCCACTTCTTGACAACTCTATGACTGAAGAAATACTTCCTAACATCCCTGTGACTTATATAAGTCTTCATCAGTTGTGACCCCTTGTTGTGTCCCATCCCTGAAACATCCTGTCCCTATCCATCTTGTCAATTCCTCTTAGTATTTTGTATGTTGTTATTATGTCCCTACTATCCCTCCTGTCCTCCAGTGTTGATTTCCCTTGATCTCTCCTCGTAGAGCATACTCCTTATCTCCAGGACTAGTCAAGTTGCAAACCTCTGCACTTTTTCTAATTTCTTGATGTGTTTGACTAGGTGTGGGTTCCATACTGGTGCTGCATACTCCAATATGGGCCTGACACACACAGTATACAGAGTCTTGAATGATTCCTTACTCGAGTGTCAAAATGCTATTCTTAGGTTTGCCAGGTGTCCATATGCCACAGCAGTTATTTGGTCGATGTGTATCTCAGGAGAAGTGCTTAATATTACACTCGCCCCAAGATCCTCTTCCTCAAGTGAGGTCCAATACACGTCAACTGGTGAGTCTAATATTCTTTCACAAGTGTGCCGATATTATTTATACCATTTTTTTACACTAATGCAGTAGTCTGCATAACAGTAAATCTTCTATTTTTTGTGAGAATAAAAATTCAAAGCGGAAAGCAAAAGAATGTAAGAGGGGCATTGGGACGTGACTAATGAACAGAGGAAATGTCATTTTAGTGCCAGGAATGTCTTTCTTGTTTATTCTGGACCCTATTTGTAAATTGGCATCTTTTGAAATTTGTGTGAAATTGGCAAAATTGCTAAATTCTGACCACTGTATTGGATAGTTGAAATCGGTAAATGGGTGGTTTCTTGCACTCATTCGATAGAAAAAATGGAGTTCTAGCAAAATATTCATGATTTTTGTCGACTAATACAGTGGAATTGGCCGAAAATAGGGCTCAAATTGGGCAAAATCGCCGATGCGATAAACATCGTCGAGACCTCTAACTTCGTGAGAGCATAATTCCGTAAGTTTTCCATCAAATTTCATACTTTTGGTTTCGTCAAGATTGGGAAAAGATTCTCTATGTTTTCATAAGGAAAAATAATTTTTTTTTTTTTTTTGAAATTTGAGCGACCCTGAGAACAAGTTTCTGAGATGGCCTGTCGACCCTGAAAGGGTTTAAAATCGTAGTGGCATACATAGTGGTGATAAGACCATGTGAGGCTGCATTCGGACTAAAAAGCAGCTGAAAAATACTGTGAAGGAATTCAAGGATACATAGTGAAGAACTGAAACCGGATACAAGTGTTAACTGCGACGAAACAGGCCTGTTTTGGAAGAAGATGCCGCCAAGCAGGACCTACATTACTCAGTGAGGAAAAGGCCTCCAGGAACATAAGCCTATGAAGACAGGCTTACTCTTCTTGATGTGTGCTAATGCTAGTGGTTATTGCAAAGTGAAGCCTTTAAGTGTATCAATCTGAAACTCCCATAGCGTTCAGGAAAAACGAGTCCTCAAGGCTAAATTTTGGTGTGTGATTGGAGGGCAAACAGTAAGGCATGGGTCACTAGGACCTTTTCTTACTGGTTACAGCCCATGCATTTTGCCCCCACAGAAAAATATACCTAAGTGGAAAAGAAATAGACCTTTTAGTGCGGTCCTGGGTTATTAAACATGCTCCTGGTCATCCTTCAGACTTGGCAAGTGGACTTTCTATGGACATGAGCTTCATTAAGGTCAAGTTTTTGCCTCCTAATACCACTCCTTCCTGCACCCATGGAACCCACAGTCATTTCAAACTTCAAAAAACTCTACACAAAAGCTGATTTCAAACAGTGCTTTGAGGTGACCTCAGTCACTCGACTGACTCTAACAAGAACTTTTGGAAAGACACTTTCATATCCTCAATGTGTAAACCTTCTAGGTAAGGCTTGGGAGGGAGTGACTAAAGGAGGACCTTGAACCTGCTTGGAAGAAACTGTGTCACATGGTGTAGAAGAAAATGGATTTTGAAGTTGTTTTCTGGCTAACCCTCAGGAGCCTATGCCATATGTGGAATCTATTGTGGCAATTGGGGAAATTCCATGGGGTTGGAAGTTAGTGGGAGGATGTGGAAGAGTTGTGTGAGGAGGACAATGAAAGAACTATCCACTTGAAGAGCTGCAAGATCATCTTCAACAGCAAAGGCCAGACCTGAGGAAACTCCATTCGAAGGAGGGAAGGTAGAAATTGGGGAAAGTTGCGCTACTTCAAAGAGTAAGGAAATGTGTGAAAAGTGGGTGACACTGCAAAGCCTTGCGGAGGCATGTCACCCCGACAAACACCAGCTACTGCCAAGCCGTGTTGGCAACATATACAATGACAATGTTTAGGCCCATTTTAGGAAAGTTTAAAGAACGGTAGGTACAGCCACTATGGACAGTATATGTTTTGCGACAAGGTCCGTGACTCCTCAAGCTGGTTCTAGTGGCATTAAAAAGAAGAAGGGAAGTAACCCCGGAAAAGGACTTGCTACCTCAAGTCCTAATGGAAGGGGATTCCTCCCCTTCTAAAACAATAACAACTTGGCACACTCCTCCCCTCTCCCATCCCATCAATCATCCACCATATCTTCAATAAAGTAATTGTCCAGTGTATCTATTCTTATAGTAAAAAAGCTTTTTTAGTACATGTGGAATGTCTTTCATCAGTTTGTGTATTAAAATTAATATTTTCCTGTGTAAAAATTTTGTTTTTTTTTTCGTACTTTTGGTGTCTTGCAGATTTAATTTGATTATCATTGTTTCTTATGGGGAAAATTCATTCGCCTTACCGACAATTTTGTATACGATGAGCTCTCGGAACGGATTAATATCGATGCCGGGGTCCACTGTGTATGTAGTATGTATGAATGTATATCAATATATATAACATGGAACCCCAGTGTACGATATTATTTCATTGCAGAAGTATGTTCTGGTGCGAGTACTGTGAATGAAAACGGAATTTGTATTCCCATAAGGAAAATAAATAATATATATAGATATATATATATATGATAAAATATAATATATATATATATATATATATATATATATATATATATATATATAGGTAGTAGGTTGGTAGACAGCAACCGCCCAGGGAGTACTACCGTCCTGCCAAGTGAGTGTAAAAAAACGAAGCCTGTAATTGATTTTAAAACATGATGGGTAGGATAGCTGTTGTCCTTTCTTCTGTCTCATAACATGCAAGATTTCCAGGACGTCTTCTACTTCTACATTACACTTAGTCACACACACATACATGTACAAAGCACATATATACACATCCCCTCTGGGTTTTCTCTATTTTCCTTTCTTTCTATTCTTATTCCTTGTTTATTACCTCTTATCCTACCATTGGGAAGTGGAACAGAATTCTTCCTCCCATAAGCCATGCGTGTTGGTAAGAGCGACTAAAATTGCCGGGAGCAAGGGCTAAGTAACCTCTTCTCCTGTATAGTATTACTAACTGTAAAAGGAGAAACTAGGTTTTTCCTTTTGGGCCACCCCGCCTCGTGGGATAAACGGCCTTGTTTGAAAGAAGAAGAAAGAAGATAAATATATATATATATAAATACCCCTTCTCTGTATACAATTACTAAAAAAGAGAAGAAGAAAAACTTTATAAAAACTGGTTGCTTAAATGTGCGTGATGTAGAGACGGATGACAAGAAACAGAGATTGCTGAATGTTTTATGAATGAAAAGAAGTTGGGATGTCCTGGGCCTAAAGCGAAACAAAGCTGAAGGGGGTAGGAGAGTTTCAGTGGGGGAAATAAATGGGATTAAATCCTGTGAAGTTCTGAGAGAGTTAAAGCAAAGGAAGGGGTAGCAGTAAAGTTAATGAACATTTTATGGAAGGAGAAAAGAGAATATGAATGTGTAAATATCAAGAAATTATGGGGATTAAATATAAAGGTTGGATGCGAGAAAGTGTCATAATAAAGCGGTATGCACCCTGAGAAGAGAGGAATGCGGAGGAGAGAGAGGAAGATTTGGGAGATGTTAAGTGAATGTATAGCGCCATTGTACCAAGGAGAGAGTAATTGTGGTAGGGACTTGAAAAGCTAAAGTAGGATGAAACTTTTTAGAGAGGGTGAGGTATGTAAGTTGGGGTGCCAGGTGTAAATTGATAATGGGAGCCCTTTGATTGAACTTTGTATAGAAAGGGGTTTAGTTATAGGTAATACATATTTTAAGAAAAAGAGGATAAAAGTATACACGATATGATGGAGGGCAAATGACAGAGTTTGTTGGATTAAGTTTGGTGAGAAAAAGACTGTTTGAGTAGACTTCAGGATGTACATTTATAGAGGGTCCACAGATATATCAGATCACTTTCTAGTTGTAGCTACACTGAGAGTAAAAAGGTAGATGGTATACAAGGAGAATATAAAGCATCAGGGAAGAGAGATGTGAAGGTTTAGAAACTAAAAGAGGAGGCAGTTAGGGTAAAGAAATAAACTGCTAATGAGGATTAGATGGTCAAATGAGAGCATACAATGGGGTCGAAAGAGGTAATGGGGTAGGTATAAAAATGTAGTGTTAGAGTGTTCAGGCAGAAAAGTTTGTGTTAACCCGTAAAGTGGGTGCAGAGGAAGAGGAGCGTTTTGGTGGGAATGATTGATGTAAAGAGAGTAGTAAGGGAGAAAAAGTTAGCATATGAGAAGTTTTTTTACAAAGTAGAAGTGTGCAAGGAGGGAAAGAGTAAATATGGAGAAAAAGAGAGAAGTAGAGAGTGGTGAAGCAATGTAATAAGAGAGCAAATGAGAGAGTGGGTTTAGATGTTATCAACAAATTTTTTGTTGAAAATAAGAAAAAGTTTTTGGGAGTGAGATTAACAAGTTAAGAAAGCCTAGAGAACAAATAGATTTGTCAGTTAAAAATAGGAGAGGAGAGTTTTATTAAATGGAGAGTTTAGAGGTATTGGAAGATGGAAGGAATATTTTGAGGAATTGTTAAATGTTAGATGAAAACATAGGGAAGCTGTGATTTCGTGTATAGGGCAAGGAGGAATAACATCTTGTAGAGTGAGGAAGAGCCTATTTGTGATTGTGGGAAGTTCGTGTGGGAGGCAGTAGGTAAAATGAAAGGGGGTAAGGCAGCCCGGGATTGATGGGAATAAAGATAGAAATGTTAAATGAGCAGTGTGGGATATAGTTTGTGGAGTGGTTGGTGCAAATTATTTAATAAATGTATGGAAGAGGGAAAGGTACCTAGGGATTGGCCAGAGAGCATGCATAGTTCCTTTGTAAAAGGCAAAGGGATAAAGGAGTGCAAAAAATAAGGGGATAAGTCTGTGGAGTGTACCTGGTAAAGTTTGTATGTTAGAGGTTTATAATTTGAAAGAATTAAGATTAAGACGGAGAATAGTATACATATGAACAAGGAGGGCTTTATGGAAAGGTAGGGGTGTGTGGACCAGGTGGTTTACATAAACAAATAAGTGAAACAGTAATTTTAGATAAGGCTAATAGAGGTCTTTGTGGCATTTCTGGATTTGGAAAAGGCGTATGACAGGGTGGATAGGGGGGCAATGTGGCAGATGTTGCATGTATGGTTGTAGGAGGAAGTTTACTGAAAGCAGGTGAAGAGTTTTTTAACGAGATAGTGAGGCTCAAGTTTAGAGATTATGAAAGATGGAAATTTTTTCCCAGTACAAAGTAGGCCTTAGACAAGGGATGTGTATGTCACCTTGGTTGTTTAATATATTTATAGATGTGGGTTGTAAGAGAGTAAATCGAGGGACTTGGCAAGAGGCGTGGAGATAAAAGATAAAGAATCACACACAAAGTGGAGAGTTTTGTCACAGCTGGATCTTTGCTGATGACACTGTGCTCTGTGATAGTTCTGAAGAGAAGTTGCATGAGATTGGTGGATGGAATTTGGTAGGGTGTGCAAAAAAGAAAATAAAAGTTTGAATACAGGTAAAGATTAAGGTTATGAGGATATCAAAAAGATGAGGTGATAAAGATTGAATATCAGATTGGAGGGAGAGAGAGTATGGAGGAGGTGAAACGATTTCAGATATTTGGAGTGGACTGTCCAGCGGATGGGTCTAAGAAATATGAGTAATCATAGAATTGATGAGGGAAAAGAGGTGAGTGTGCCCTTAGGAGTCCCTGTGAGAGACAAAAGAACAATTTGTCCTTGGAGGCAAAGAGGGGAATGTATGAGATATAGGTTTAACAACGCTCTTATATGGGTGTGAAGCGTGGGTGATGAATGTTGTAGCGAGGATAAGGCTGGAGGCAGTGAGATGTCATGTCTGAGTGCAATGTTGGTGTGAATATAATGCATAGAAATCGCAGGTTTGGAAGTTAGGAGAGTAGTGCGTGATTACCAAAACTGTTGTCCAGAGGGCTGAGGAAGGGATGTTGAGGTGTTCCGGACATGTAGAGAGAATGGAGCGAAACAGAATGACTTCAAGAGTGTATCAGACTGTAGTGGAAGGAAGGCGGGGTAGGGGTCGGCCTCTGAAGGGTTGGAGGAGGGGGTAAAGAGGTTTTGTTTGCGATGGGGCTTGGGACTTCCAGGCAGGCATGCGTGAGCGTGTTTGATAGAGTGAATTGAGACAACTGGGTTTTTAATACTTGACGTGGCTGTTGGAGTGTGAGCAAAGTAACATTTATGAAGGATTCAGGGAAACTCCGGCAGGCCGGACTTGAGTCCTGAATGGAAGTACAAGTGCCTGCACTCTGAAGGAGGGGTGTTAATGTTGCAGTTTAAAAACTGTAGTGTAAAGCACACTTCTTGAAGACAGTGATGGAGTGAATGATGGTGAAAGTTTTTGCATTTTTTCGGGGCCACCCTGCCTTGGTGGGAATCGGCCCGGTTGTATAAAAAAAAAAAAAAATATATCTATATATATATAAATATATATATATAATATATATAATATATAATATTATATATAAATATATAATATATATATATATAAATGGAATAAGTGAACGTTTTTCATATACACTGTGAGTTGACGTGTCGGCGGATGATTTATGAAGATGAGGTTAAACCATAGAATTGAAGAGGGAAAAAAGGTGAGTGTGTGCGTTGAGGTATAATGTGGAGTCAACAACCGTTATCTATGGAGGCAAAGAAGGAATGTATGAAAGTATAGTAGTAACCAACACTCTTATATGGATGTGAAGCTTGGTGGTAAAGGCAAGCAGCGAGGAGAACGGTTGGAGGCAGTGGAGATGTCATTGTCCTAAGGCAATGTTTGGTGTAAATAATATGCAGAAAATTCGGAGTGTTGGAAATTTAGGAGAAGGGGGAGTTAATAAAAGCATTAGTCAGAGGGCCCGAAGAAGGAAGATGAGGTGTTTGGTCAATTAGAGAGAATGGATCTAAGTATAATGACATGGAAAGCATATAAAACTATAGGGGAAGGAAAAGAGGGTAGGGGTTCGTCCTCGAAAGGTAGAAAGAGGGGTAAAGGGAGGTTTTTGTGGGTGATGGCTTGGACTTCCAGCAAGCGTGCACGAGCGTGTTAGATAGGATGAATTGAGATGAATGATACTTTGGACCTACGAACTGTTGGAGTGTGAGCAGAGTAAATTTAGTGAAGGATTCAGGGAACCGGTTATTTTTCATAAAGTCGGACTTGAAGACCTGGAATGGAATACAATGCTGCACTTTAAAATGAAGGTTTTGGGATATTGTCAGTTTGGAGGGTATGTTGTGTATCTATTATATGTAATGCTTCTAAACTGTTTTATTCTGAGCAACCTCTGTGCAAAAGCAGTGCATAATGTGTGAGTGTGGTGAAAGTGTTGAATGATGATGAAAGTATTTTCTTTTGGGGATTTTCTCTATTCTTTTTTTTGGTCAACCACAACGCCTGCGCCTGCGTTGGGGACGACCGACTTGTGAAAAAAAAAAAAAAAAATATAAATATATATATACAGTGGACCCCCGCATATCGTACGCCTTGCATAGCGGACAATCCGCATAGCGGACGCTTGTTCGCTAAAAATTTTGTGCACCGCAAGTGGACAAGAACCCGCTCACGGCCTTCGTCCGAGACGCGTCCAATGTGCGCCCTCAGTCCAGCCTCACAATTTGCCGCCTGTGCCATTGTTTACCAGCCAGCCTCCGCGTAACATTCAAAGCATACAACGGAATATTTCGTATTATTACATGTTTTTCGGTGCTGTTTCTGAAAATAAGTGACCATGGGCCCCAAGAAAGCTTCTAGTTCCAACCCTACAGCAATAAGGGTTAGGATTCCTATTGAAATAAAGAAAGAGATCATTGAAAAAGTATGAAAGTGGAGTACTTACACCGACCTGGTCAGGTTGTACAAGAAACCAAAATCAACCATCACTGTCTATTGTGTGTGCAAGAAAACGGCAATCAAGGAAGCTGTGTTAGTTGCCAAGGTTTTAACTGTGTTTTCGAAACAAAGATCTCAAGTGATGGAAGAGTTGAGAGGTAGACTCTTATTGGTGTGGATAAATGAAAAAACAGCTACAGGAGATAGCGTCTCTCAAAGCGATCATATGTGACAGAAAGGCTAGGAAGTTGCATGAACGATTTAATTTAAAAAAAAATGCCTGCAACAGTGGGATGATGTGAGTGAATTTAAAGGCCACAAAGGTTGTTTGAGAGATTTCAGGAATGTAGTGGCATCCATAGTGTGATACGGCATGGTGAGGGCAGTTCGGACTACAAAGCGGTTGAAAAATTTGTGCATGAATTCAAGGAGTACATAAAACTGAAGGACTTGAAACCTGAACAAGATTATTTTAAATTGTGATGAAACAGGCCTGTTCTGAAGAAAATGCCAACAGTACCTACATTACTCCAGGAGGAAAAGGGCACTCTCCCAGGCATAAGGCCTATGGAAAGACAGGCTTACTTTGGTTTGATGAGTGGCCAATGCTAGTGGTGATTGCAAGTTAAGCCTTTAAGTGTATCACTCTGAAACTCTGCCCAGAGCGTTTCAGGCAAAGAATGTCCTCAAGGATAATTGTGTGTATCTGTGGAGGGCAAAACAGAAAGGCATGGGTCACTAGTGAATTTTTCTATAACTGTACACCATGCATTTGCCCCCAATGTGAAAGGAATACCTAAACTGAAAATAAAATTAGACCTTCAGTGGCCTCTGGTGTTAGACAATGCCCTGGGTCATCCTACAGCCGGGCAGAGCGACATTATGGGGACCTTAGCGACATTAAGGTGAATTTTTGCCTCCTAATACACACCTCCTCTCCTGGCAGCCCATGGACCAGCAGGTCATTTTCCAACTTCAAGCAACTGTAACACAAAAGCTCTGTTTCAAAAGTGCTTAGCAGGACCAAACCGACCACTCGATTGACTCTAAAAGAGTTTTGGAATGATCACTTTAATATCCTCAAATGTGGTAAACCTTATAGGTTAAGGCTTGGGAGGGAGTGACTAAGAGAACCTTGAACTGCATTGGAAGAAACTGTGTGCCAGAATGGTAGACAAAAGGGATTTTGAAGGGTATTTGAAGGCTAACCCTAGAGGAGATACTAGTTGAGTGAATCAATTGTGGAATCTGGGGCAGTCCTTGGGGTGGAGGTTAGTGGGAGGATGTGGTAATAGTTGGTGGAGGAGGACAAATGAAAGAACTAACCACTGATGAGGCTGATAGATCAACATCAAGAGCAAGAGCCAGACCTTGGGAAACTGTTCAAAGAGGGGGAGAGAGCAATGAAGGACTTGCCTACTTCAAAGATTAAGGAAATGTGTGCAAATGGCTTGAAAGTGCAAACCTTTTTTGATGAAAATCACCCTCACACAGCTATTGTCAAGCCGTGGGTGGTGACTGTTTACAATGAACACTGTGAGAACCACTTTAGACAAATCAAAAGGAACGAGAGGTACAGGCCAAGTCAGGACTATGACAGTATTCGTGCGCAAGAAGTCCAGTGACATCTGAAGCTGGTCCAGTGGCTTAAAAGAAGAAGGGAAGTATCCCCAGAAAAGGACTTGGCTACCTGCTCAAGTCCTAATGGAAGGTGATTCCCCTTCTAAACACTAACACTCTCTCTCCCCTCCTCCCATCCCATCAATCAATCGACCAATCTTCAATAAAGTAAGTGTCATGTAATTGTGCATTGCCTTTTTTCCAGTTTGTGTGTACTAAAATTAACATTTTTTTTGAGGTAAAAAAAATTTTTTTTCAACTTTTGGTGTCTTGGGCACGGATTAATTTTATTTCCATTATTTCTTATGGGGAAAATTAATTCGCATAAGCGACCATATCGCATAACACCAGGCCCTTTGCACTGATTCAGGTCGCTAAGCCTGGGTCCACTATATATATATATATAATATATATATATATATATATATATATATATATAAAATATAATATTATATATATATATATATATATATATATATAAATATATATAATATAAATATATATATATATACTAATATATATATATATATATATATATAATATATAAATATATATATATATATAATATATATTATAGATATAATATATATATATATATATATATAAATATATAAAAAATATATTATATATATATATATATCTATCTCCATGGGGAAGTGGAACAGAAATACTCCCTCATTTAAGCAATGCGTGTTGTAAGAGGCGACAAAAATGCCGGGAAGCACGGGGCTAGAAACCCCATCTCCCTGATATATAATTTCTAAATTAAAAGGAGAAACATTCGTTTTTCCTTTGGGCCTCCCCCACCTTGGTGGGATACGGCCGGTTTGTTGAAAGAAAGAATATAACAGTTGACCCCCCCATACCGATTTTTTAAATTATCCGTGCAAAGGGGTCATTGGTATGCGAAATAATCGGTATGCGAAATAATTTTCCCATAAGAACTAATGGAAATCAAATTAAACCGGGCAAGACACCCAAAAGTATGAAAAAAAAAATTTTAACCACATGAAAGTTTAATTTTTAATACACACCAACTGAAAAAGGCATGCACACTTTTTTATTATGCATGACACTTACTTTTATTGAAGATCTGGTGATGATTGATGGGATTGGAGGAAGGGGAGAGAGAGTGCTGAGTGTTTAAAAGGAATCCCCTTCCATTAAGACTTGAGTGGTCATTCCTTTTCTGGGTTACATTCCCTTTCTTCTTTTAAATGCCACTATGACCAGCTCAGAGTCATGGACTTCTTTCGCACAACCGATCTACCAGAGTGTCCTGTACCTCTCGTTCCTTTATGAACTTCCTAAAGTGTTTCACAACATTGTCAGTGTACAGTGCCAACACGGCTTGCCATAGCTGTGTTAGGGTGATTTTCATCAAAAAGTTTTGCACTTCAAGCCACTTTGCACACATTTCCTTATCTTTTTAGTAGCAACTTCTTCAATTTCCTCTCTCCCCTCCTCTGAACCAGTTTTCCTCATGTCTGGCCTCATGCACTTGAAGTTGATCTATCAGCTCTCAAGTGGTTAGTTCTTCATTTTCCCTCCTCCACCAACTCTTCCACATCCTCCCCACTAACCTCCAACCCCAAGGACTTTTCCCAATGCCACATGGATTCCCTCAACTGCATACTCCCTCAGATTAGCCTCAAACCCATCAAAATCCTTTTGACTACACATTCTGGCCACATTTTTCTTCCAAGCAGAGTTCCAAGGTCTCTAGTCACTCCCTCCCAAGCCTTACCTATAAGGTTTTACACAATTGAGGATATAAAATTGCTCTCTCCAAAAACTCTCTTAGATCAGTTGAGTTTCTGAGTCACTAACAAAGCACCTACAAAGCAGAGCATATGTTACAGTTTTTTGCAGTTTGCAATAACCTGCTGGTCCCATGGCTGCAGGAGAGGAGTGGTTTAGAGGCAAAAAACGATGTTAATGAATTATTCAAGTTCCCCATAAAGTCGCTCTGCCACGTCAGTAGATGACCAGTGCATTGTCTAACACAAGAGGCACGTAAGTTCAAATTTCCTTATCATTAGGTAATCTTTCACATTGGGGTAAATGCATGTGTAACCAGTCATAGACAAAGTCCCTAGTGACCCATGCCTTACTGTTTGCCCTCCCAGCACACACACATTCTCCTTGAGGACATTCTTTTGCATGAAACGCTCGGGAGTTCAGAGTGATACACTAATAAAGGCTTACTTGGCAATCACCATTACAATTGAACACATCAACAAAGTAAGCCTGACTTTCAATATGCTTATGTCCTGGAGGCCTTTTCCTCCTGAGTAATGTAGGTCCTGCATGGCATTTTTCCTTCTTCCCAAAACAGGCCTGTTTCTTCACAATGAAACACTTGTACAGGTTTCGATTCCATCAGTCCTATATGTACACCTTGAATTCATGCACATAATATTCAGCCGCTTTGTGGTCCCAACTGTGCGCCGCACCATGCCTTAACACACTATGTATGCCACTATGCCTTCTTACTTCTCTCAAACCAACCATGCTGGCCATTAAATCACTCACATCATCAGCACTAGTTGCAGGCGATTTTTTTTAATTTAAATCCTCATGCAACTTCCTAGCCTTTTACGCTTATGATCGCTTGAGAGACGCTATCTCCTTCTAGCTGTTTTTCATTTATCCACACCAATAAAGAGTCACACACATTTTCCACACTGCGATCTTTTTTACGAAAACACGTTAAACTTATATGGCCAGAAAGCTTCCTTGATTGCCTTTCTGGTGCCCCACAATAGTAGCGTTGGTTTGATGGGGTTTCTTGTACAACCTGACCAGGTCGGCGATACGCACTCCACATTCATACTTAATCAATGATCTCTCCTTCTCATCTCTATTGGAATTCCCTCACCCTTATTGGCTGTAGGGTTGCACTAGAAAGCTATCTAGGGGCCCATGGTGACTTATTTTCCAGAAAAAGCACCGAAAACACTGTAATAATACGAAATATCCGATTGTAAGCTTGGATGTTACCGCGGAGGCTGCCTGGTAAACAATTGCCATCCGCGGCAACATGTGAGGCTGGCTGAGGGCGCACATTGGACCGTCTCGGACGAAAATGGTGAGCGGGTTTTTTATCGTATGCGAGGCACAATTTTTGCGATTAAAGCAAGCTTATGCGGATTAAACGTTAGTGATGCCATCGTAGCGGG